GTAGCGTCCACATCCTTTCCATCAGAGTCAGAATCCAGTTTCTGATTTGTATAAGGTGTGACAGCAATCTTACAATTCTTCAGTTCAAACCTCTTCAGAAGTTCTAATTCATACTTGAGCTGATACAAAATGATACCTTTCTCAGAATATTTGAACTCCATCCCTAGAAAGTATGTCATTTTGCCTAGATCAGTCATTTCAAATTCATTCATCATAACTTTCTTGAACTTGGCTATCTCCTGTTCAGAACTTTCAGTCAGCAGTATGTCATCAACATATAAACATACCAGAGTCATATTGCCTTCAGAAGTATGCTGAACATAAACACCATACTCCATCTCACATTTTTGAAAGCCTTGCTTCTTAAAAAATGAATCAATCTTCTGATTCCAAGCTTCGGGCGCTTGTTTCAGTCCATATAGAGCTTTGTATAATCTGTACACCATCCCTTCCTGATTCTTTTTCACAAATCCAGGAGGTTGTGACACGTAAACTTCTTCTTTTAATGGACCGTTCAGAAATGCGAATTTTACATCTAAATGCATCAGAGGTCAATTCCTGTTAGCAGCTATTGCAATCACCATTCTGATTGTTTCATGTCTTGCTACAGGTGCAAACACTTCAGAATAATCCAGCCCAGGTTTCTGTAGAAATCCTCTGGCTACCAACCTTGCTTTATGTTTGCCAATTGAACCATCTGGCTTTAACTTCTGCTTGAAAACTCATCTGACGTTGATGGTTTTCTTGTCTTTTGGAAGTTCTGTCAGCTTCCAAGTCTTGTTTCTCTCTATAGCATCAAGTTCTTCTTTCATGGCCTTCAGCCAGAGCTTCTGCTTAAGAGCCTTTTCTGTACTTATGGGTTCAGAGTCTACTATCATGGCACACTGAATAACTTCTCCTTCAGAGTCTACTTCAGTGTCTTGCAACATGTCAAATTCTGGATATCTTCTGGGAATGTTTCTGATTCTTTGTGGTCTTTAAACTTGTTCAGAGTCTTGAGCTTCAGATGATTGACTTCCTCCAGAGTTTTGACCATCTTCAGGGTCTGACATATTTCTAGAGTCTTGAACTTCAGAATTTCTAGCTTCAAAGGCTTGGCTTCCTCCAAAGCATTGGTCATCTTCAGAGTCTGAATTGCCACCAGAATCTGGATTACCATCAGAGTCTGGATCATCAGAGTTACCTTCATCTTTTGAGTCTTCTCCAGAGTCAGAATCACTATCAGAGTCAGAATCAACGTCAGAGTTTACTCCAACTTCAGAAATTCTTAACTTTGACCTTTTTTCAGAAGTTCTAACATCAGAATCAGATTGAGACTTATCCCAATTCCAAACTTCTGATTCCTTCACAATCACATCTCTGTTGAATTCAATTTTATTGGTTTCTGGACAATAGAGCTTGTATGCACCTGTACTGTGGTACCCTATCATAATCATCAATTTGCTTCTATCATCCAGCTTCTGTCTTTTGGCTTCTGGAACATGTTTATAGTAAATAGAACCAAACACCTTCAGATGACTAACACTTTGCTTATCTCCAGTCCACTTCTGTATTGGAACTATTTCCTTCAACTTCTTAGTAGTACATCTGTTGAGTACATACATTGCAGTGACAACAGCTTCTCCCCAGAGCTTCTGAGGAAGCTTCTTCTCCTTTAGCATGCTTCTCACCATATCAAGCAAAGTTTGGTTTCTTCTTTCAGCAAGACCATTGTGTTGAGGGGTATAAGGAGCAATAACCTCATGCTCAATTCCATTCTCCTCACAGAACTTCTGGAACTCTTTGGAGTTATACTCACCTCCACCATCAGTTCTAAGAATCTTCAGCTTCTGACCACTTTGATTCTCAGCCTTCATTCTGAACTTCTTGAATTCATCAAACACCTCATGTTTAAATTTAATAAGGGATACCCATGTCATTCTTGTGAACTCATCAACAAACAACACAAAGTATTTATTCCCTCCAATTGATGCTACTGGAAATGGACCACACACATCAGAATGTACAACTCCCAAGGCATGTTTTGCTCTTGGAGCAGCTTCTGACGCAAATGGCAGTCGTGGTTGTTTTCCTTCCATGCAAACTTTGTATGACTTTTCAGACTTCTTAATTGCAGGAATTCCATGTACCAACTTCTTTGAATTCAGATGTTTTAAGCTTTTGAAGTTCAAATGACCAAATCTTCTGTGCCACAGCTCACTCTCCTTCTCAGCACTTGTTGCACTAAGACATTCTAAGTCTGCAGTTCTGACATTCACCTTGAATGTTCTATTCCTTCCCTGTTCTGACTCCATAATCAACTTCTGATTGCAGTCATACAGCTTCAGAAGATTGTCCTTCATGGTAACTGAAAAACCTTTCTCAATTAATTGTCCCACACTCATCAAATTGCTTCTGATGCCAGGTACATACCACACGTTCTGAATCAATGATGTTTTCCCATTGTTCAGAATCACTCTGACATTTCTCATACCTTCTGCATTAAGATATTTGTCATCAGCACATCTGATCTTTGTTCTCTTTTCAGAGTCAAATTCAACCAGCCATTTCTTGTTTCCAGTAAGATGATTTGAACAGCCAGTGTCCATATACCACCAGTCTATGAGATCCATATTATCAGATTCAAAGGCCATTAATAGCACAGATTCGTCATCAGAACTTCTGGCTATATTTGCTTCTTCTGATTTTCTCTCCTTGTTTGACCAACAATCTCTAGCAAAGTGACCAAACTTCTTACAACAGTAACATTGGATCTTCTTCTTGTCATACTTATCTTTTCCCTTCTAAGCATTCTTTTGTCTATCAGAGGTTGAGCTTTCTGACTTCTGACCACCATCAGATCTTCTCCTGACTTCTGACTGCTTCTGATACCTCCTATCAGAAGTTGCTTTCAGAGCCTGCTGCTCTACTTCCTTTTCAAAGGTTCTCTCAGTCAAACACAACTCTTGCGCTTCTAGACTGCTCCGCAACTCTTCAATTCTCATGGTGCTCAGATCTTTGGAATGTTCTATTGCTACCACAATGTAATCAAATTGAGGGGTAAGGGATCTCAATACTTTCTCCATGATTGCTTCTTCAGAAAGAGTTTCTCCACACGCCTTCATCTCATTAGTGATCAGAATCATTCTGGAGATGTATTCAGAGACTTTCTCATTATTCTTAATGTTGAGATTCTCATATTGCTTTCTCAAGGACTGAAGCTTCACCTTCTTCACTGATGCGTCACCACCATAACATCTCACCAGTGTGTCCCACGCAGCCTTTGCTGTCGTTGAATCTGCAATCTTCTCAAACACATTTACATACACACATTGATGAATGAAGAACAATGCTTTCTGATCCTTCTTCCTTACTTCCTTCTGCGCGTTTTTCTGTTCATTTGTTGTATTTGCTGCTACTGGAACATAACCATTAGTGACAAGATCTAGAACATCTTGAGCACCAAACAGTACACGCATTTGGATCATCCAACGATTCCAATTTTTACCATCAAATACTGGAAGTTTGGTGTTCATGTTGCCGTTTCCGTTCATCTTCTACCTTGCACGGTACACTCAGATTTCTCACACAGTGTTTCCCAACCCACAGAATTAAAATCCTGATCAGATTTTGTTCAAGATTCAACACGAATCTAAGAATCAAAATCAAACACACAAGACCTCACGTTCACTCGTGTTTCCCGTGTTTCCCAATGAATCTGAACTGGAGCTCTAGATATCAATTGTTGGTGCAAAGGTAGAATAAATGATAAATAGAGAAATATTCTATTAAGAGAATGACGGCTACACACTACTACTCAAAATTGCAATGATTGTTACCCTATTTATAAGCTAATACTAGGGTTACTAAAATAAGATAAAAATACTAAAATATCCTCTAACAAACTTAGGGGCTAAGAAAATAGTACAACTAATAAATATGAATTACTTCTAATAAATCTTGTAATTTTTTACAACTTATTTATAAAAAGCCAAATAATTATATACTAAAGCATTGGTTCTTCAACACAGGCATGTACCACTACAAATAATTTAAATTTAAGTTTTAAATATTTAATAAATTAAAATATCATTCAACTTATTTATAAAATAATAACTAATTAATTTCATTTAATTATTATTAAATACATGATTTCTCACTTATAAGTATGTAATTTACATTTATGTGTTTATGTTTTTTTAATAAAAAATAAAATAATTGAGTTAACATTAATTTTCTATTCAAATATTTATTGAATTAATATAATTTCCCTTTTTAAAATATTTATGTATTATGTGGAAAAAAATATTCAACCTAACTATTAAACAAGTTATTTATTTTCTCATTTGTAAAACAGTTTTCAAAAATTATATTATCAAACAGATTTTTTTATAATTATTTTTTTCAAAAACAAATTTTAAAACTATTTGTAATTCAATTTTTGAAAATTAAAAATTAAAAGTGTTTCAAACAGGCCCTTAATACCGATTCTGTGATTCTGTCCTTCGGATAAGGGCGATCAACATCTGAGTTTTTTTGTCTGTGCTGTATGCCAAGTTGATCTTGCTCCAAGTGAGGGAAATTATATTAAAAAATATTTATGTATAATTTCCCTTTTTAAAAAATATTTTATTTAATTTAATTTTTTAAGCACAAGGACTTGTATGTGTGAGAGGATAGTTAGGAAAAAAATACAAGAGAAAGAAAAAGTAAAAGTTGAAAAGAAACCTGTTAACCATATTTAACAAATTTGTTGAATTAGTTTGACACACCGTGTTGACGTGATGCAGAGTGAAAGTAAGGAAAAATGCAGTGTGAAGTAAGGAAAAGTGCAGTGTGGAAAACGGTTTATTTGTTTGTATATGTAAATAGTTGATGAGTCATTAGTCCAAGTCTTCTGCAGTCAATGTCCAAGTCAACTAAGAAGCTACATCATACATTAAGTGTATGGTGAAGAATGAATGAAGACTTTGCTTATATTATTAAGTATTTTAGCTCATAAACGTATTAGTAGGCTATACATGATGGCCTTAGTTTACAAATTTTTGTTCCTTTTGTTTTCTCAACTTATGCTACTCGCTAATGGCTACCAAGAAGATTGCCCGGCTTCATTTAGTTGTGGATACCTTGGTAATATCAGCTTCCCTTTCACTACAACACAACGCCAGGACTGTGGCTTATTGCCAATACAAAATTGTGATGATGCAATGAAGCCCAAAATGATCCAATTTCAGAATAAAGGAAAATGGTTTGTGGTTGGAAATGTAAATTCTCTTGAGTTTCGCGGTAGTAGCAATGCTACTTTTTCTTTTGTTTTCAGAGACAATAATCTCTACCAACTGCTACAAAGCAAAAGTTGTGAAGCTCTCAGATATAATTATACTCTTCCTCCAACCTCTCACTTTCTTTCTTTTCATATAGAAACTCGTGCAACCTTGTTCATGTGCAACCGTTCCCTCCATGTCAACCCTCCAACATATATGCATAACTATACAAACTGCCGTCTCTATGATTTCTACTACCGGCCTTTCAACAATCCTGATAATGCATCTCCGACTGCTTTTACAGCATGTGCAAATGTCCGACTTCCAGCTAAAGACTTTGCTGACGCTGACGACCTTTTTACTTTCATTACTGCTGATATCCCAACTCAAGTAAACATTACAGAGGATTGTTCAAATTGTCACTACAACCAAAGAGGACGGTGTCAACTTGACCGCGATGGAAGGTTTTATTGTGCCAACGGTATTCTAACAAACACCCCAAAAACACACAACACATATTTTTCCATTTACAACTTTATGTCATCTGTCAAATTTGAATTGTTTACTCTATTTGCAGTTATGGTAGCAAAACAAGAAGGGCTGACGTGGATAGATACACTGGGTACAATAGGTAAAGTACCGTTTACATAACTTTCAGCACACGGCTTCAAATTTCATTTGTCATTAATGCGAAAGTTAACCAATATGTTAAAATGCGAATTTCGTAGGTGAAAGTCAAGGTTTAATCTTGCTAAAATTTCATAGAATCCATTACTTTCATGTTAAAAAAATAAAGTCATTACTTTCTTCCGCTTAACATTTATGTTATATTTCAAATAATTTACAATTTCCAACAGTCACGGTGATTATTGGAGTTGTAGTGCTGATTATTGGAGCTGCAATGGTGCAATTGGTTTTATGGATAGTGATAAAGATCTTTACTACAGCATTTCTTTTGTTTAAGAAAGAAGATTCAACTCATCGTATTATTGAGGAGTATCTGAAAGAACATGGACCTCTTTCAGCTGTTAGGTACAATTATTCAGATATCAAGAAAATAACAAACTCCTTCAAAAACAAATTAGGTCAAGGAGGATATGGAAGTGTATACAAAGGGAAGTTACGTGATGAGCGGAATGTTGCAGTGAAGATTTTAAGTGAATCAAAAGGTGAAGGTGAAGATTTCATTAACGAAGTTGCAAGTATTAGTAGAACTTCACATGTCAATGTTGTTAGACTTTTAGGGTTCTGTTTGGATGGTTCTAAAAAGGCGCTAATATACGAATACATGTCTAATGGATCTCTTGAGAAATTCATATATGAAGAGAAAAATCCACTGCAGAATGATCTCCAACTACTGGATTGCAAGACATTGTATGATATTGGAATTGGCATTGCTCATGGATTAGAGTACTTGCATAGAGGTTGTAACACTAGAATCTTGCATTTTGACATAAAGCCTCATAATATATTATTAGATGAAGATTTCTGTCCAAAAATTTCTGATTTTGGACTTGCTAAAATATGTCCAAGAAAAGAAAGCATTGTATCCATATTCGGCGCGAGAGGAACACCCGGATATATTGCTCCAGAGTTGTTTTCTAGAAATTTTGGAGAAGTCTCACATAAATCAGATGTCTATAGTTATGGAATGATGGTTTTAGAGATGGTTGGACATAGAAAGAACATTAAGGTTGAAGTTGATTGTTCTAGCGAGTTATACTTTCCACACTGGATTTACAAGTGTCTTGAATTGAATCAGGATCTTGGACTTAAGTGTATTAAAAATGAAATTGATGAAGAAATGGTGCGAAAAATGACAGTGGTGAGTTTATGGTGCATACAAACCAACCCGTCGAATCGACCATCAATGCATAAAGTGGTGGAAATGTTGGAAGGGAGCCTTCAAGTGTTGGAAATGCCACCCAAGCCCTTTTTGTCTTCCCCTTCAGTATCTGTATCTGCAACACCTTTGTCATCTGAAATATTATAATTTATGTGAATGTTAAAGATGCAATGCAGAGTGTCATGAAAATTATAATTGTATTGTTGTATAATTTTGTTTGCATTTTGTTTAATCAGTAGTTTGTTAACACATATCCTTATTATTGTGTTTATCACAACAATGTTATTCTTATGTATTGTCCAGATTATAAATTTTCTGTGATTGGGGAGTTGATCTTGTCTCACACCAAAGCTGGGATTACTAGCTAATATCTATCCCCAATGTCCCTTCTGATTTACTTCAAATCTATACTTTTTTTTGGGACTTTTCCCCGCAATTACCATAATAGCTGTTAAAATAAATGATAAGTAGGCTCTTGTCTAGTTGTCCCTAATTAGTTTTATTTTGTTCTAGTGGCGTGAAGACTTGGAGTCAGCTCAAGTTGTCTTTGATGAGAAACCACACAGAATTTACTTGTTGATTGATACATTTCAGAGTAAAGTTTAGGTTGAAAACCTCTTATGTAATATCTAAACCAAACAAATGGTAGACATGGTGTGTATTTAAGTCGAGGCTTAATTTTTAATTAACTACATTCAATGTATAAAATATCAATAAAAAACAAGTTTAAGAGAAAGACTCTAGTCATGAAAATAAAAACCATTCACTTCATTTCTCATATTTCTTCTATGACTTTGCCTATACCTGATGATCACATTCACATGATAACCTTCACCTCCGTGTTTTTGTTCTTCTTCTTGGCCCTTTTTCCAACAACAATTTGCCAAGAACAAAATAACAAACATGAAGATTGTTTGAAACCATATACATGTGGTGAAATAGCCAACATATATTATCCATTTTGGGGACAAAATAGACCAAGTTACTGTGGCATCAACAACGGTCATTTCCACCTCATATGTGACACTCATCATCAAAATACATCCATTCAAATTGCTTCACAAAATTTCCAAGTCTTATAAATTAATCAACTTGATTACACCATGAAAATGTTTCGAAAAGGCCTTGTTTATGATAATTGTTCTTCTGCTTTAACCAACACTTGTTTAAATTCAAGTCACTTTCATTATATGTTGAATGTAAAGAACATCACCATCTTATATAACTGTCCTAATGACATCAAGCTTCCGAATGGCACGGACATTAACTCATTTTCATGCAAGGAGGATTCTAACAAGCGCGCTTTCTATGTGGATTCTGAAACAGCCGAGGGTGTAAATTGTGAAGGAGTTCGTATTGAAGTTCAGGTGACACAGGAAGTGGAACTTGGTGTTGGAGTTGAAAAGCTGAACAAGGCTTTGAGTGGTGGATTCGATGTGGAATATGTTGCAGATTCTCAAAAATGCTTTAAATGCGTATTAAGTAATGGAACTTGTGGAGGGAATGATATGTCTCTGCTTTCAGCTGTTAGGTACAGTTATTCAGATATTAAAAGAATAACAAATTAGGCCAAGGAGGGTATGGAAGTGTATATAAAGGGAAGTTACATGATGAGCGTCCTGTTGCAGTGAAGATTTTAAGTTGCAGTGAAGATTTTAAGTGAATCAAAAGGTGATGCTGAAGATTTTTTAAATGAAATTGCGAGTATAAGTAGAACTTTGCATGTCAACGTTGTTAGACTTTTGGGATTCTGTTTGGATGGTTCTAAAAAGGCGCTGATATATGAATACATGTCTAATGGATCTCTTGAAAAGTTCATATATGAAGACAAAATTTCACTGCAGGATGATCGTCAATTGGATTGCAAAACTTTGTATAATATTGCAGTTGGTGTTGCTCGTGGATTAGTCTACTTGCACATAGGCTGCAACACTAGAATCTTGCACTTTGACATAAAACCTCATAATATATTATTAGATAAGGATTTCTGTCCAAAAATTTCTGATTTTGGACTTGCTAAAATATGTCTAAAAAAAGAAAGCATTGTATCCATATTTGGTGCGAGGGGAACACCAGGATATATTGCTCCAGAGTTGTTTTCCAGAAATTTTGGTGGCGTGTCGTATAAATCAGATGTCTACAGCTTTGGAATGATGGTTTTAGAGATGGTTGGACAAAGAAAGAATATTAAGGTTGAAGTTGATTGTTCTAGCGGGCTATACTTTCCACATTGGATTTATAAGCGTCTTGAATTGAATCAGAATCTTGGACTTAGGTGTATTAAAAATGAAATTGATGAAGAAATGGTAAGGAAAATGACAGTGGTGAGTTTATGGTGCATACAAACCAATCCTTCAAATCGACCATCGATGCATAAAGTGGTGGAAATGTTGGAAGGGAACCTTCAAGTGTTGGAAATGCCACCCAAACCCTTTTTGTCTTCTCCTTCAACGTCTCCAACCCATTTTTCATCTGAAATATTGTAATTTGTTTGGATATAAAGATGCAATGCACAATGTTTAACACCAAACAAGAATGTAATGATAATTTACATATAAATAAAATGTTATCTAATGTGTTGATTTTCTAGTTCTGCAACTTATGGTTTATGGTGGAAATATATAGAGAAAATATTATGATGAGTCTACTACTGATTTCTTATATATCAGAAAAAACTAGCTCTTAGATCAAAGCTGACATAAATGGCTAATAGCTATCTATCATAGTTCTTTCTTATTTACTTATCACTTTTTTTTCCTATCGCAGTTATGGCTCTGTTTGATTTTCTTAAGATTACTATAAGATTTTGTTTCGCATTTATGTTAACTTATTTTAGTTTTCTTCACACCGACTCATGAGCTTGTTGAGAACGCAACTGATATTCAGAGAATCACGAATAAGAAGACCAAGAAGAAAGATTGTAAAACTACGTATTGCATTCAATCGACGGTAGATTCTGCGAATTTCGATAAGATCTCTCATGCTGAATCAGCAAAGGAGGCATAGGATATTCTAGTCGAATACTATGAAGGAGGTGAGAAAGTCAAATTTGTCAAATTGCAGACATTGCAACGACAGTATGAATTACTTCAAATGGGAGAAGAAGAAAAGATTGCAGGCTATGTGTTGAAGGTGTAGAATCTCGTCCATCTAATGAAGGGTTGTGGTGAAACCCTAGCAAATAAGATGATAGTTGAGAATGTAATGCGTACGTTGAACTCCCATTTTGATCAAGTTATCGTAACTATTCAAGAATCCAACAATCTTGAAACTCTAAAACTAAAAGATTTTGTTGGTTCGTTAGAGGCATATGAGATTACGATTGTCAAAAGAAAGGGGATTTAAGATTCCATACAATCATTGTAGACTCAGAGCAAGAAGTCTTAGTCGAACCCTTAAAAGCAGAAGGTCAAAGATAGCCTTGGTATGCAAGCAAGGCTGGTCGACATATCACTTAAATGTGAAATTAGCATTTTTCAATGGACCTTTAGATGAAGAGGTCTATGTCACACAACCTCCTAAATTTGTGATACAGGAGGAAGCGAGGAAAGTGTATAAGTTGCAAAAAGCGATCTATAGCCTTAAGCAGGCACCTAGGGAATGGAACAAGAAGATCGACTCATACTTAGTCAAATTGAAATTCGTCAAATGCAAATATAAGTACGGTGTCTATGTTTAGGTTATAGAATAAGATATAATAATTATCTGCTTATATGTCGATGACTTGTTGGTAACTGGAAATAGCTTGAAAAACTTGTTGAAGTTCAAAGAGCTCATGATGAGAGAATTTGAAATTTCGAATCTGAGAAACTTGTCTAATTTCCTTGGCATGGAATTTCAAATGTTGAAGAAAGGTATGATGCTACATCAAAGAAAGTATGTCAAATATATACTCAAGAGATTCAAAATGGATGATTCGACTCTTGCATCTTCGCCTGTCGAATCAAATTTGAAGTTGGAGAAGCATGGAGAGGAAGACAAATTCGATGCAACTTTGTTCAAAAAAGTTGTTAGATCTCTGAGATATTTGTGCAATAATCGACCTGATATAAGTTTCTCAGTCGGATTAGTGAGCATATACATGAGTGAACTAAGGGTGTCATACATGAAGGTTGTAAAAAGAATCTTGAGATACTTAAAAAGATCGATAAACTATGAAATTATATTTCGACGAGACTCTAAAAGCAAAGAATCTATAGTTACTTGTTATTCACATATTGATTGGTGTAGAGATAAGAAAGATTGAAAAAGTATAATTGGTTATTTCTTTTATGTATTTGGTGCCCCAATCTCATGATGCTTGAGAAATCAACTTGGAGTGGCATTATCATCGTGTAAGGATAAATATAGTAAGATCTTATGTTACGTGTCAAGCAGGTTGAGGTCAAAGTGAAGAAACCTCTGGTGTTGTAGATCGACAACAAGTCAGCCATAAATCTTGCGAAGAATCCACTTTTGCATGAAAGGAGTAAGCACATCGAAGCTAGATTTCACTTCTTAAGGGATTAGGTAATTCAAGGTTAACTTGAAGTAAGAAATTTCTCAAGTGAAGCACAATTGGCCAACATTTTCACCAAAGAATTGAAAATCTAACAAATTCTTGAATTTGAGAAAGAAATTAAGAATAGTTAATATCAACTATGATTAGAGTTTGTTCGGCAACTTGGATTATAAGGGAGTATGTTAAGATATAAGTGATATAATCCAAGTTGTTTGTGGCTCAAGTCCAAGGATAATTAAGATTTAAGATTTATTATATTTATTATTTAGTAATAAGTGTATATAAATAGATTATTTATAATTTTGTTTTGTAACACATTCATATTTCAATAATACAATATTTATACTCATATTATCTCTCTTTTTCTCTCCTCACTAAAATTACTTCATGATCCAACAGTGTAAAGACATGTTTTTTTTTATGCTTTTAATTGTTAGAGAATGGAGTGATATGATATTAAAAATGATAAATATAAAAATCGCATGCAAGTATATAATCTCTGTCTCTACATTTTTTGTAGAGGGGTGAGTTTGTACTTGATATTGTGAGGGGCTTTAGTCAAAATACCACTAATTACACATTCAAAATAATTGCACTCTCAAAATAATTTTATATTATAAAGTGTTGAAAAATATTTTATTTTTAT